GCACACTGACCACCCACCAGGCGGTGCTGGGGAGCTGCGGGGAGCCTGAGGTTCCGGCCCCCTTTCTCTGCGTGTGGTGGCAGTTCCCTGGTGACTTGCAGGGGGCTGGGAGCCGGAGGGTCATGGTGACTGAGGAAGTGGAAGGGGCAGCGTTGACCTGAGCTGTAGCTGGGGGCCTGAGCTGTAGCTGGTGGGGGCCTTGGTGATGCGGCTCCGGGAGGGCCCAGGGGGTGGGCTGGCCCCGACGCCAGGACGGCCAACTGGGTGGCCACTGCTGCCTGCCCAGCAAGCCTGCCCTAGCTGAGAGCTGGTGAAAGCCCGCTGCAGCGGGCACCCTGGCCGGGTCCCGCCGAGGGCAGCTGCATCAGGCAAGTGACGGGAGCTGGGCCTCTGCGCCGCCGCGCTGTCTTCATGCAGCATCCACACTGGTGGCAGGTTTGAGGGCAGCGCTGCCCCTGTGCCCATGCCGGCAGCCTCGGGGGCCCACACCCCGGCAGCTTCCAAGCTGATCGCTTTCCCCCCCTTTGAACCCATGAGCTTCCGATTCTCGCCCGCCCCGAGGGGCTTGTCTGCCCACAGGTGAGGAGAGCGGGGCGGGGGGACCCCGCACTGCCGGCCTGCGCTCCACTTGCTGTGTGAGGGTTGGCGGTGAGGAAGACAAGATTCCTGGGACCCTGCACCCCCCTCTTGCCAGGTGTGTCTGGCCCAATTATAGCCACCGAGCCTCGTGCAAATCATGTTTTAATTACCCAATTACTGCCAAGAGGAAATTGGTAATTGCTTTTCCAGTATCAAATTCCTTCTGGCCTTTCTGAGAATGGACCCAGGAAAGGGCCTGAACTTGTCCCCAGCCAGAGGAGGGGTCCTGTGGTGGCGATCTGGGAGGGGCAGGGCTCTGGGGCTGGGTCCGTCTGGCCAGCAGGGGGAGTGGGCTCTCTGCCCCTTGGCCGTCCATTGAGGGGAGGCAGCGGCCCCACTCCTCACACAGCCCCCCAGGGGCTGACAGCGGGGCTGGCAGCGGCATCTGCAGGGAGCCTGCCCAGTGGTCCCAGCACCGTGGCCAGCCTGCCGGCTGCTGCCCCTGCCCTGTCCCCGCCCGCCCTGAGGTCCTCTCCTGCTCCTCGCCGGCCCCACCCTCACGCAGAGAGCAGAAATCAGCCCCACGCTGCAGATGGGGGCATGCAGCCATGTCGGGGCGGGCAGGGACTCTCCCCTCTCCGGCCGAGGCCAAACCGGGCAGCCCCTGCCTCTGGGCAGCTAGGGCGCGTGCCGGCCTTGGCGAGCAGCCTGGGCGGCCAGACATCCTCCCTGGCGCCCCCGCCTGCCCTCACCCGGAGAATGGGTCCTTTGTTGGCTTGGGGCTGGACGGACAGCTGACCTGGCCGGGCCATCAGCTGCCTGCCCTCAGCAGTCGGCCAGGGCCCCGTGGTGCGGACTGGGGCAGCCTGCGAGGCCAGCATGGAGCTCGGCTCCCCAGGGTCGGGGCCGCCTCCCGGGTCCTGGGCAGGGCTCCCTTGGCAACCCCCCGCCTGGCACGTCCTGAGTGCCTGTTGCCTGTTGGCCAGGGGTGAGGGGTTCAGCCTGCGCCCCAGCGCCTCTGTGGGTGCCTTGCTCCATGTGCACCTTGCTTGGCACTGAGAAGCCGCTGGGCTCTGCCCCTCTGTGGGGCTGCCCACGGCCCTTGTGCCAGGGCCCACAACCCCAGGGGGACTCCTCAGTGTGCAGGGGGCCTGGGAAGACCCAGGATGGAAAGGTGGGTGGGTGGGGTGACCCCGTCCCTTGGGTCCGGGCCTGGGGGGTGCCTGGGCCCTCTGCCTGCGGCCCTTGTGCCGGGGAGGATGGGCAGTCCCACTCAAGTCACCTAGGAAGAGGGAGGGGTGGCTTCATGGGGAAGGGCAGTGGGGGCAGAGCGGGACTTTGGACCTGAGGACCTCTGTGGTGGGAGGTGGGGGAGCGGCAGTGGGGCCAGACACGGAAGGTTCTGGCAGTCTGTGGGAAGTAGTTTGCAGAGCCTGGAGGCGACAGCTGGGAGGAGAGTGGGAGCTGCTGGGTCTCCTGTCTGCCCCGTGCCTCAGCCGCCCGCGTGGGCCTCCCCAGGTGGGTGGCCTGGAGAGGACAGCTGTGGGCAGGGGTGTGGCGCTGGCACGCGCCTGTGTCCTGCCGTCCTGCCGTCCTGCCAGCTGTCTGGCCCGACGCCCGCCCTGAGCGCCCCTTCTCCCCGGGACTCCCTCCCGGCGACTGCTGGTCCCTCCCTCGCTTTCTGGACCGACCGGGTCCGGGCGCCGCTGCCCGTCGGGGCAGGCCCACGAGCCTCGGTGTGCCTGTCTGTGCCCAGCCCCGTCCTGCCACTGCCGCGCCACAGCAGCCAGAGCCCGAGCTTCCTTTCCCTGCCTGCAGCCCCCCCACTGTCACGCGCGTGCAGGGGCAGTGGCCTCGCCCCGTGCCCCTGCTTGACCCGCGCCCTCCCGTGGCGCCCCGTCTCCTGGGGCCTGCCCGAGTATGTATGGGGCATCCTTGTGCGGGGCAGGTGGGTGGACAGACGGGTGCACGCTGAAGGACAGCTGGATGCGCGTGCTCCCCACTGCCACCTGCTGCAGCTGTCGGGCCGCCTGTCAGAGTCGGCGTGCTGCCGGCTGGGGTCCAGGCATTCCTGAGCCCGTGCCTGGCTGCTTCCCTGTCCCCCACCCCAGCATCCTGGGGAGGAGGCCTGTAGCCCTGCGTGCCGGGCCTGGGAGCAGGGGCAGGCACCCAGCTTCCAGTGGTGAGCGCCACCAGACGCGGGGCTCTGGGGAGGGCCGTGGACACGGTGCGGCGACGGCTGGGGGCTGTGCAGGCCCGGAGCAGCCGAGGCCCGGGGCCAGGGGCGAGCCAGAGCCACGTCAGGTGGCCTGGGCCTCCTGGGGCGCCAGCCCTGCCTCCTCGCCCTCCTGCCCGGTCTTGGCCTCTGTGCGGGCTGCCCCGCTGGGGGCGTGGCTGCCTGCGGGGGTTTGGGGACTGCTGTGGCCTCTGGTCCCAGCACTGCTTGGCTCTTAGCTAGGCTCCAGGATTGCTTGGCCTGGAGCTTTTCTGAGGAATCTCGCCCCATCGCACAGGTAGGAAACCACGGCCAACGGTTTAGCGCCTCACTGCGCTGCGCAGCTGGGCGTGTCTGAGCAGGGTGCGTTCAGACACTGGACTCGGGGCTCTCTGACCCCTCCGCGCCACCCGCGGCCTGCCTGCGCCTGACTGGCTTGAGGGGCGTCCTGGGCTCCCTGTGAGTGGGCTGCACCCAGAGCAGGTCTAGTGTTTGGAGTTTGCTGGGTGCCGACAGGGATCCTTTGCGGCTGCCCCACAGGGCACTGCGGCTGGATCGCTGTGGCCTCCCCGCCAGCAGCCCTCTCCCAGAGGCCGGGGTCAGCAGCCCTCTCCCAGAGGC